CCAGTGTCTTGTTGAGAATTTCTGCATCTATGTTCATTAGGGAGATTGGCCTGTAGTTCTCTTTTTGGGTTGGGTCTTTCCCTGATTTTGGAATCAAAGTAACACTTGCTTCCAGGAATGAATTTGGAAGAATTGCTTCCTTTCCAATTTCCTTGATGAGTTTAAAGAGTAATGGTGATAGTTCTTATCTAAATGTCATGTAGAATTCAGCAGTGAAGCCATCGGGACCTGGACCTTTCTTTGTTGGTAAATTTTTTATTACATTTTCAAATTTACTCATTGTAATTGAGGTGTTTAGAATTTCTATATCTTCTTCATTTAACTTGGACGATTAGTATGTGTCTAGGAATCTGTCCATTTCTTCTGTGTTTTCCATTTTAGTAGAGTATAGGTTCTCAGTAGGTATTGATCATCCTCTGGATTTCTGCTGAATCTGTTGTGACTTCACCTTTTTTGTTCTTAATTGCATGAATTTGAGCCTTTTCTTTCCTTTTTTTGATAAGTTTGGCTAAAGGTTTTCAATTTTATTTATTCTTTTGAAAAACCAACTCTTTGATTCATTGATTTTTTTGTATCGTTCTCTTAGTCTCCATTGCATTTATTTCTGCTCTGATCTTAATAATTTCCTGTCTTGTACAAGCTTTGGGTTTGTCATGCTTTTTTTTTTTCTAGGAGCTTGAGGTTCAGCATTAGGTTGTTTATTTGAGCTCTCTCTGTTTTCCTAATATGGGCATTCAGTGTTATGAATTTCCCTCGTAGAACTGCTTTCATTGTGTCTCATAGATTCCTGTATGTTGTACTGGCATTATCATTTACTTGTAGAAACTGTCTAATTTCGTCTTTAATTTCCTTTGTGACCCATTGGTTGTTCAGGAGAGTGTTACTCAATTTCCATGTGTTTGTGTGGATTTTGTGGTTTCTTATGCTATTGATCTCCAATTTGATTGCGCTGTGGTCTGATAATATACAGGTGGAAACTTCAATTCTTTTTTTTTCATACTGGGGATTGACGTTGGATCCTTGTGCTTGCGAGACAGGCGGCAGAACCACTGAGCTAAGTCCATGGCCCAACTTCAGTTCTTTTACATTTACTTAAACATGTCCTATGAGCTAGCATGTGGTTTATTTTGGAGAATGACCTGTGTGCAGCTAAAAAGAATGTGTATTCTGATTTTGTGGGGTGGAACACTCTGTAAACATCTGTTAAATCCATTTGTTCAATAGCTTGGTTCAGTTCTAGAATTTTGTTGTTGATTTTTTTGTCTAGATGATCTGTCTGTGATAGTGGAGTATTGACGTCCCCAGTACAATTGCATTAGTGCTTATTTGGTTTTTCATGTCCATTAGTATTTGTTTTGTATAGTTGGGGGCATTCATATTTGGTGCATATATGTTTATGATTGTCATCTCTTCCTCTTGGATTGTTCCCTTCACAAGGATGTAGTGATGACCATCTTCATCTCTCTTAATTAGTTTTGGTTTGAAATCTACTTTATCTGCAAATAAGATTGCTACCCCTGCTTTTTCCGGATTCCTGTGGCGTAGAGAACTGTTTTCCATCCTTTTACTTTCAGTCTATGAATTTCTTTTTGATGTGCTTCTTGTATATAGGATATTGTTGAATTTTGCTTCTTAATCCATTCTGCCAGTCTATTTCTTTTGATTGGTGAATTGAGGTGATTAACATTGATGGTTATAATTGATAGTTATTGACTCATCCTTGTCATGATGTTTTACTGTTGTTGGCTCTTTTATTCCTTATTTTTCCCCCTTTACCTTTAGTGCCTTACCTTGCGTGGTGTCTTCTCTCTGTTGGCCCTCATGGAGTTGTGACCTTCATTGTCTTTTTCTAGGATATTGTTCCTTTTTTTTTTGGTACCTGGGATCGAACTCGGGTCCTTCCGCTTGCAAGGCAGGCAGTGGAACCACTGAGCTAAATCCCTGGCCCTCTAGGATATTGTTTAGAATTGTTTGGAGTGCTGGTTTGGTGTTCAGGGTGTGTCTTTGCTGTCATAATAGACAATGTGGGCAGCAGTGTGCAAATATAAGTCAATGTGTCTCAGTAAGCCAGTCACAGACCTGTGAGATTCAGGCATATTTCTGGCTGCAAGTCCCAATTTGAGCTCCCTGTCCTCCTGCATGGTTGAACTCTGCAAGGCTCTACTGCAGGTTCCAGCTTCCCTTCCCCTGAAGATAATCCAGGTTCCGATGGGAGGTGATGATCCCTCCAATTTAGCAAGTACAGTGGTCTGGTGTGCCTTTATTGCAGAGATTCTCTTCACTTTTCCAGTGGGTTCAATTTTCATGAAGGGGCCTGAGAGAGGCCCTTTTTCTGTTGTTCGCTTCTGCTGTTATCTTCTGGAGCTCAGGAAATGGCTTTTATGCCCCCCTGTGCCTCTGTAGTGTGGAACCAGGTATGGTACAGCCAGGAGGCCAGAGGCAGAGGGGGCCGGCTCTGCAGACACCCAAGTGGCTAAGCGGGTTGCTGGAGGGTAGGGCTTGGGCAGGAGGGAGCCTGTGTAGTATTCGTTTGATAAATTTTTCTAGATGTTATTTTTGGATATTAGGTATGTACTTTTGAAAAATTATTGCAGTTCATTATAATTGAATACATAGTCTGTCCTCAGAGAAAGAAAAGAATCTCTGGGTAGATTGGAAGTTACTTTTGGTGTTTACCAGGTCACATTGTTATCTTTATTGTTCCTCTCTTATCAGTGTTGGCATCAATAAAACAGAAATGTATTTTTGTAAAAAAAAAAAAATCAGTGTGGAATGACCTAAACCTTTTATTTTTCAGCATTCAGAAATAAAGCCCCTATTCATTTTCATATGCTAAGTAAGAGACATACCTTTAACCCCCTGTGTCTCTGGGTTCCTTATCTGGATTCAACCAACTGAATTGAAACTATAAGAAAAATTTCATCTCTATTGGACTTATACAGACTTTTTTCTTGTTATTCCTTGGATAATACAGTGTGACAACTATTAAAACTATGTAAGATTTTGTAAGTAGAGGTGATTTAAGATATATGGGAGGAAAAAATATATGGGAAGATGTGCTTGGGATATATGCAAATACTGTTTCATTTAATATAAGAGACTTGGGCATCTGGTGGTTTTGGGATCAGGGGGTCCTGAAACTCCTGTGGATATGAAGGAACTACTATTATTCTGTCATTCAGCTGGTATCAATAAAAGGTGATTCAGGTAGAAGTGAGAAATTATTCTAAGTGATTTCATGACTTTTTCTTTTTGTTGGATTCTCCCCCTTTG